AGGTGTTGGTTTCTGTAAAGCAGAATTGTGTTCATTGCAGCCCATGTTTGTGACTGCAGTGCCACTGCCAGAAGAGCGATGACTATGACTGGACATCATAGGCTAAAAGGGTGCTGGCTCCATGAGATCCTGCTGGCCAAATGGCAGGATGCGGTGTGCTGCAGTTCTGCTGCTGCGAGCGGGGGAAGTAGCATTTAAAAAAAAAACGCAAACAAACAAGACACAAAAAAACCCAACAACAACAAAAAAGAACAGTGGAAAAGCTTAGCTTTCGGTTGGCGTCAAGTTTATCTTCCACTGTCAGACCCTCAGCTTTATTTTACACTTGTGTTGTGTTGGTACCATTGGTGAGTCCTAGCCCCGTTTGCAGAGATCTGTGTGCGGCGGTTATCTTTGCTTGGCAGCTGCTCTGGGTGCTGGTTGAGAGGCAGTGTTGAGCTGCACATGGTAGATATCTTCTGAGAGGCACAAAACAGGAACCTTTGCCGTTGGAGGAACACCAACAAACAGGTGGTGGTACGCTGTTCTTCAGGAGAGTAGCAAAACCAGTTTTGAGGATTGAGTCCATATGGCTCCTCTCCTGTAGGCAGTAGGAGCCTTGCTGGCCACGCGATGCCCAGCACATGGACGTAACAGTGGAGATATGTTTGTCTTTGACATGTTCCTCCTGCATCCCCCAGTCTTCCTAGAAAAGAGGATTTGTGTGAGGTGGAAGCCATTCTTTGCTAGTTTTGCCCCAGTGTCTATCACAACAGTGGTCTCACCCAGGTTAGTGAGAACACTGCACTTCCAAGAGAGGTTTTGGAGTGTTGTGTAATTAAACTTCAGCTCTTTTCCCTTCCTAAACATCTTTCTAAACTTGGTGGCAGGCTAGGTGCTGGGCTGGAGCACAGAGGAGGATTTCTCTATGGAAGTTTCCTCTTGCAGACTTTTTAAGCTGTGGTAGGAGGATGACTAACTGTGGGTACACCCAGACATTTCCCTTTGGACACACCTAAACGCACACTTTCCAAGAAGAGGATCATGCCACCTTCCAGTACGGGTGGAGAGAAAACTTAAAGGGAGACAGGACTGCTGGGTCTCGGTGTCTCTAACGCCGTCCTGGGGCGATTTATGCTGTACTGCTAAAGGAATTTTCTTCGTTTCTTTGTCCTCCGTCAGCAGATGTGTGTTATTTGTAGACAGTAGAGGCTGTTGCCTATTTTTACACTCAATTAAATTGTAACTTCATTGCTGGGGCCCCTGCTGCAAGAAGTACAAGTCAGGCAATGATCCAGACTGATTAATTATCAGTGTATCGTCTTTGGCAGAGGCCTTTTGGTGCCGTTGTGGAGTGTGGTCAGGGTACTGCTGCACTTTGTGATGAGAAGGAAAAATTAGGAGGTTGCCTCTATGCTGTTCTCTTCGTCAAGCTTATTTAGTGACAGGATTAGCCTTGGCTGCCCGGGCTGGCACGTATGAGTGAGAGGTCCAGAGTAAATTATCTGTAGCGCTTCTTGGACATAAGCCTCTGCAGAAATACAACAAACTGTAATATTATTCTTGTTACTGTTGTGGAAATGAGCGAGTTGGGCATTTTGTTTATTTGCAGAGAGACTGGTAGCCTGCAAAATTTGGCATGCAGTATTTTTTCCTCATTTTGTTAATGAACAAACCATAAATACAGTGGAAGGATAAAAATGGAAAAGAAATAGTTTCTGCTTCTGACTCAGCTTCAGAAAAGTCCCATCAGCCCATTTGAGAAACCAGAAATCTCTTTAGACAGTTGTGTCCATTGTGACTTCGGACAAGCTTTGAAACAAGAGCTTGTTTTCAGGGTCCTTCTTGAAATAAATGTTTAGTTTTGTTGGCAAAACTCCTACAGATCTGTTTCTGGTAAGTGTGTCTTGAAATGCTGAAGTTGCAAACGTGGAATTTGTGTCATCCTTGCTACAGGCGTCTGCGATGTGAAAACACACTTGCTGAATGCTCCTCTGCTGCAGTGGGTGTGCGTGCAACAGGGTGGAGAGGGCTGCCTGGGGGGCCTGAACGTTCAGAGGGTGCTGGTGCCAGGGAATGGCTGGGAGAGCCACCTCTTTCTCTTCTAGAAGCCTTCTGGGCATTGCCCTCTTATCTCTTCACCCTGTGTTGGTGGGATAAAACCACCAAGGTCACTTTGTAGCTGGGGAAGTGGAGCAGAGCATCTCCCTTGCCTGTGTAGGTCCTTATTTAACCCTGGTCACTGTACACACTGGCTGCCAAAAATCAATTACTTGCTTGATGATGTTTTGTTTGCAGAGTCTTTAAATAACGTACAGTGGAAAAACAACCAAACTGTGCAGTGTACATTGCTGTTGGCTAATAACTTATTACAGATATCTTTTGGACTTAACTTTGTGTAAGCCAAGCTTTGTCTTTGTTGTCTATCTAGGTAATACCATACTAAGCTTCCTCAAACCCTGCTGGCACTATACACAGTCATGCGTAGGGGTGCTGAGCTGCAATGATCACAGCACGTTTAGATGAGAAGTGTCTATGAAAAGTGTTGCTGTGGCAGTGATGAACTCGGTGTGGGCTGCAAAAACCACTTCAGACACTCCCTGCGTGCCCAGCAGTTGGACTGTGGTGAGCTCTGCAGCCCCACAGCCGTTCCCTGAGCAGCTGCGCCGCGCTGCTGGTGTGTCCCCGTGTCTTCTGGTACATCTGTGTCTGAAGCTGGCAGAGAAGCAAGAGGCCTGGGAGCCTTCCCATTATCCTTGACCTTCCACTGTTCTTGCTAAGGGCAGCAGGAGCTGGTGGGGCTTTGAAATGCTTCTGAAATTTTTCCCCCAGTGCTTTGTCACATGCAAAGCTTATGACGATGCCTGGGGTTTTCTTCTTGGGCTGGTGCTTCTGACCACAGACTGGTGTCCCACTTCATCTGAAGTGTGTGTGAGAGTGGATGACTTAGCGTGTGCTGCTTTTAAATGCAGAGATTGGGAAACAAGACCTGTTTAAAGCAGTACTCCTCATGCAAGGAAATGCAACAAAAGCCCTCTTGAAGTATCACAGAAAACTGCTTTTTGGACAAACAAGGAAACCTTCAAAAAGCTCCTCTGGGCTTGGCAGTGAGAACAGCGGTGAGAGCCGGGGACGGCCAGCCCCGGGGTCTGCCGAACGCTCGCACCGGGGCAGCCGCGTGGGCCAAGGCTGCCGGATTGCCCATGCTGTGAGCCGCCGGGGGAAGGCGGCCCGTGCTGCACGCAGCTCCAGTCTCAAATCACAGCTAGTTCAGCTTCCTTCCCTCTTCCTCCAACCGGTCTTCCAGCAAGCATCTGAAAACTCAGATTTCATGTTGTGAGGTTGAGAGAGGCCTGCAGGAGAAACGACGGGAGGTGCTGAGGGCTCGAGGCGTTGACAAAGGCAGTTAGTTGGTACAGGCATGACGGGAGGTGGAGATGAAAGGGGCTGGGAGCAGGCAGCGGAGGCTGCTTGGAAGCTGATAAGGCTGGTAGGGTGGATGCTGGGGCTTTTTGAGACTGTAGTGGAGCTCGGAAGAGGAATCAGGCAGGCGGGTGTCTAAGCAGCCTGTGGGTAAAGGCGTGCTGCCCTGCAGCTGTGGGAACGGGCTGAACTCTTGCTCTGCTGCTGCTTTCAGAGCATCTCCGCTCCCCAGCTAATTGCTGCCTGCGCTTGTCTGGGACTGGGGCTGGAGTTCAGGAGTGGCCCCTGGCACACAGGCTTTGAGTAGTAGGTCTGCTTCTGCCTGACTTCTCTTTCAACAAGAGGATTTAGAGTCATTCGCCATTCTGGGTCTACCCAAGACTGAAACATCTGGCTGTTGTTATATTCGTTCTCTGCTGGTGGTGCGGCAGCTCTGCTAGACCAGTGCCAGGCTGGTGTTGGTGTGTGGTGCACAGCCACCAACGTTCCTAACACAATTCTGCAGTGCGGTGTGTTTGGGAGACACTTCTCTGCAGTATCTTGTGCCTGTACGGTGTGTATACTGCCTTGTACATGCTTCCTAAGGCCAGAGGGCCGGTGGAGAAGATCAGCTAAGGCTGGAGGTAACCTCTCAAGATTGCAAGAAGCATCACAGTGCAGCACCAGTAGCAAACTTAGGAAGAGGAGCATTTGGCCTGGACTTGCTGATTTTGACCCTTATGATAATCCAGGAAGCTTTAGCCACCCAATAATAGCACTCTGTTAATGGATGTCTAGAAATGGGTTGGTCAATGTTGCGTTTTTGACCCGAGATTTTTCCTTTTTGCCCTCGAATCAAACATGCAAGAGTATGTAGTGACAGGACAAGGGGCAATGGATTTAAATTGAAAGGGGGTAGATTTAGATTGGATATAAGAAAGAAATTTTTCACTCTGAGGGTAGTGAGGCACTGGAACAGATTAACCAGAGAAGTTGTAGATGCCCCATCCCTGGAAGTGTTCAAGGCCAGGTTGGATGAGGCTGTGGGCAACCTGGTGTAGTGGAGGGTGTCCCTGTCCATGGCAGGGGGGTTGGAGCTAGATGATCTTTGAGGTCCCTTCCAACCCCCTAACCATTCTATGATTCTATGAATTTCTTGGGCACTTTTCAGCTGTGGGGTTGAATTGCAGGTCCCAAAGCTGTGTTGCTCTTATCTCTCTGTTCAGACCAGCATTGCTCATGTGGGAATAGCTGCTATAAAGGGCCGTGTTAAATGTAGAAATGATTAAGGCTCTAAGATAGTAGTGTGCCAGCATCTGCGTTGCATGCCGGAGTTAATCCTAAAAGCCAGAAAGGAACATGAAGACCCAAGCTACAATATGCGAGACTTGCTTGGTTAAGTAAGTGCACACACAGAAAGGAATAAAACGCTTAAATACCTGGCACTTTGAAAGTAAGCAATCCTCCAGGAATTAATCTGTAATGAAGTTTTTCCCCTCTTTTCAGTCTGAATCATACAGAGCACAGTTTACCCGTTTAAAAAGAAATGCAGCAGTTGTAATGCATGTGAAATATTTCAACACATCAATCCTTGTTTTTCCTGTTTTCTCTTTCCCCAGGAAATGGCAAACTCTGTCTACTTGGTTATGGAGGTGAGTGTATATCTCTTCTTCTTTTTTTTTCCCCTCTCCTTTTTTTACCCCCTTTTTTCTCTCTCTTTTCCTTTTTTTTTTTTTTAAAAAAAAAAACCCTTGGTTTAAACAGACCAGCCTATTTTGTTACACAAGTAGTGCTTTCTGCTTACAGTCTCACCTGTGATGCTTTTGCTCATCTAATCTCCAGCTGCATGCATTTGGGAACTGGAGCAGTGTGGGTGACGATAGCAGCCAGGGGATTTTTTTATATTGCTGCTGAGAGAAGGTCGTGCTGGCACAGGTTTAATCAGTCAGACGTCTTACCTTAAGGGTTGGATGGGTGTTACTGGGTAGTGTCTGCTCCAAAGATATATGGAAAATAAATTTTCTCCACGCAGCTTAGCTGCAAAGCTTTTGACCGTTTTCTTTCCTCTGCAGTCTTTTCTCTGAGGTCTTGTTGACTTTCCTTAATTATATGGAATGTGATATGGGGAATTTCAGTTTTCAGCTATGGCTGCTCCCAGATTTTCCTCTACCAGCTTTTCTGGTGGGCTCTCCAGTGGTGACGCTTTGGCTTTGTTCTGGTTTTATTTTCCTCTGATGCGTGTGCACACACATGGAAGCTGGTTAATGCTGGTGTGTCATAATGCAACATAACATGTAGGGGAAATAGGACAGAAGAGAAACCTACTGGAATGTTGTTAGTTTTTCCTGCCAACTTATGAATACATATTTTGATATATGTGTGATTATTTATGTTTAAATGCCAGGAAAAGCCTGCCACCCTAGTGGTTTACTGGTTTTAATCTTCGATTTGCCTTGCAGTAACTGAGCTATCTCTTCTGTTTGCAGTACTGTAATGGTGGTGACCTGGCAGACTATCTTCACAGTAAGTAGAACAATATGGAGAATATCCTCTGTATTCCGAGGAAAACACTGACTGTTTTAGCTCATTAAAGTTGCTGGGGTTTGTGGAAGATCGAAGGAAGCAGATGGTATATAGTTTTATTTTAATTCCTGCAAAATAATAAGAGCATCACTGCTCCTCTTCTAAGAGGTTCACCCTTGTTAATCATTAGAAAACTGAGAATCCATGACAATAAAAGCTAGTCTGGTAGTCTTTCCTATGTAGGTCAGTGGTGACTGTTGTCAGTAGTTGTGTATTTTAGTTACAATGGCCTTAGATTAAACATGTTTTAACACTGCCAGGGACATGGTTTGTCTCTTTCTTGGTCACTGGAAAAAAGCTATTTATGCTTAAGTCTTGCAGTTCTGTAGGGTTGGATTAAAATAAAATCACAAGAGTATATTTCACTTTCTTTAAGTTTTCTCCTAAGGGTGTTCCCACATCTCAGAACACATTTCTCACTTCAGTGTATTGAGGCTGACTGTAGTGTAGCCAGCAGTGTTGTGAGGGTGATGAAAACTCACTGGAGGTTGGACTGCAGGGTCTTGTGGGAACCTAGCACAGGTATCTGTGACTGTGGTGCCCTGAAGAGCCTTTTGGTGAGACCGAAGTTTGACTTTGCCATCAAATGGAATGAAACAGGCTTTGCATGTTGCCTGGTGGTATTGCTGGGACTCAGGCTTTAATATCCTGAGCTATTTTTCAGTGCGGGCCACTGCACAGGTACAGGATCACAGCCTGTGTGAAAATCACATTGCACCTGCGTGGTAGCAGGATAACATGTTTAATGAGTTGCTTAGCTGCAGTCCGACACAACCTTTATTTTCTGTTGGCCTGACTGTATTTTTTTTTTCTTAAAGTAGCTTTCTTGTTGTTTTGCATGTTAACTAGAAGATTACTAAATGTGAAGAGACAACTTTAATCTCATTTCATCTGTGGCTCTGGGTCATGGTTAAAAAAAGTTTGTTCACATTGTCCAAATTAAAAGCTAGTCAGCTGAATAATAGTCAGGCTTCTTATTTGAGGTACACAATGCCTGGAAACAGCAGAAATTGAAGGATTAAAAGCTAAATTTACATTTGCCCTGCAGCTAGTGTTGGTATCCCTCAAATGATTATTTAGGGCTTGATGCTGCTGTTTTGCTCTCTATTCATACAGGGTAAAGAATTACATTTGTGGACTTTAATTTTCAGAAATAGTTTAGTACTTGAAAGAAAATGAAATAATATTCTACCTTTCATGTGTTTTGTTTGTTTAAAATGTGAGTGAGAGAGAAGTGACTGGCATTTGTTTTTTAAAATCCAGGTTTAGTGTGCTTTGTCTTAGATAAATGATAGTGTTTTGTATCTGTGGGGTATTGCTGTGCTTTAAAAAGAGCATCTTTGGTGGTGGTAGAACGCTGTTATGAATGAATGCCAAGTGAAAATGTCTATTTGGTACCTTCTTTTTCTCCATGAGTACAAGTGCAAATTTTAATAATGAAATGCCTTTGAAAAATAGCCCAACTTCAATTTTACCAGTGCATGGGCTTTGAAAATGACAGTTTTTAGCTTTCATGCACATGACATGAACCTTGATGTTAAAGCACTGGGCTGTGGGCTCTTGTTGGCAAAGCTGTATATGTAAATAAGAACATAGCTTCTGGCTGAATAATTTATGGAAGTGTGAGTTTATAGAAAATCTTCCTGTTCATACTACTGCTTTTATGTGTACATTGTCATCTTCTCCCTTCCACCAGCCCCCACCACTCCACCAAAAAAAAAAAAAGCATATAGTGCAATTAGCTATCCTGTTAATACAGCTACCTCCTTGATTATCAAATGAGACTGTTCGGGGAATTGGTGAATGGTTTGAGAAAGTGACAATGAATTGTATTTTCTAAATAAAATTCAGTTTCACTCCAGTTTGGTTCATTTGAGTGTTGCCTGGGGTAAGACTCAATCCTTCTTTGCCTGAGTTAATTTGAAAAAGTTACTGTTAGCTCTGTTTTTACCAATTAAATATTTTACCTTGACAACAGTAAAGAGCAGCTGTTCTGACTGGGAAATTGGTGCTTACTTTTATTTTAACTCTTAACATCTGTGTGCCTGTAGCCAGTAAAGAAAACCCAGCAGGCACAGATTTCCAGAGGGAATAGTAGTCAGTAAGGGACTGCACCAAGAAAGTTACTCCCATCACTGCAGCAGAGATCTGGATCTTCCAGATCCCAGAGCCTAGATACAAGTGTCAGCTTTTGCATCTCATGGCTTTTTCCATTTTACCACATGCTCCTTTGGGGTGCCTTCTCTCCCAGCTACTGCAGGTGCTCGGAGTGCTTTTGATGGTAATGATTTTTTTTCCTGAAAACTCATCTTAGAAAGTTTAGATTTCTTCCAGCGTTTTTCACTGGTACACAGGAGGCTCATCTCTATTGAGCAGTTATTGTGCTGCTTCAGTTATTTTAATAATTGTGTGATGATATTTAATTGCAACATCTACTTTCCCACTGACTCCTCAGACGTTTTTGCTGGTAGTTCCTGTAACACTTAGGCAAGCTGCACATGCAAATCCCCAGTTTCTCATTGAACGAGATGCTCGTAAGCTTCCCAATCCATTCTGTCCTCTAATTACAAGCGTTAGGCAATGTGGTAATTCTGTGTTGAATCCAAAGGCACTCTAATTCCCCTTGCTCTCATAACTGGAGGGACGTGCATATGTGCATGTTTCAATGCAGTATGTGTTCTGGCTGGGTTACGCTGTTGGTCAGCCCCATCTGTTTGATACAACCCAAGGTTGCGTGTGTTCTGCTAAGCACGGTTTCTGTGGTGGTGTTCTTGACTGGCACAATGCAGTTTCCCTTATGATCGGTTTCTGTGGATGCTGCTTTCGTTTAAAGCCCATCATAGGATATGTTTTGAGCTGAGAGTGGCAGATTGCTGCTGTGCATGGTAGACTTGTGGGAGGCGTTACAGAAGTGACTGTCCTTGGTACAGCAGTAACTGGAATTCGACAGCCTTGGGTACTCATGAGGTCAGGGCACACTGATCTAAAATTTCTTCCTAAATTCCTTAAATTGGCATTGACACAGGCTATTATGGACAATCATAAGTGCATATTCATGACCTTCCTTAAAGCTGCTTCTTGGAGAGTGCATCTCTGTGAAGAAAACTTCATGTCAGAGCAGGGTGTTTCTTGGTTTGACCATGACATGTGCAAGGAGCTGTGATCCAGTTCATCCCAAGTGGTGTGTAGACTCCTTTGTGAACAAGAGGTGTGAGACACTACTGTGTAACTTTTTACCCTCTACAGCTCAGTGATGAAGAATATCTATGATAAGGCTAGACCTGTCTGAAGTAACTCTTCTGCCTTGTACAGAAGACTTCACAGGAGTCACACTGGCCGTGTTCTGCATGGGTGGAGCTGGGGGAGTTACAAGACAGGTCCCAAATAAATCAGCTTAGTCTCTCAGACTTCGGCATGAATTGGGTTGGGCCTGTATTGAAGAGATACTTGTGGCACCTGTGGGTAAGAGCAGTTCTTTTTCTGAAATAACTTTTCCGAAATGGAGTTGTCGTGTCACATCAGCGGGTATACTCCGATGCATCTGCCCGCGGATCAACTGACAAGGGCTGTTTACTACAGTTTACCTGGCAGCCTCTTGGCAGGTTGAAAACATCTCAGCACAGGCTGACCAAGGTCCTTTTTAAGTGGTTTCATCCTTTTCCGACGCCTCAAGAGCTACAGGGTGCGTGGGCCCCGCATTGACCTGCAGTAAATATTTGCTCTGATCTACTGACCCGTGGACAGCCGTTCCCAAGGCAGAAGGCTGAGTGCCTCGTCACTGAAGTGGAGTCTATGAAAATAAACACAGGGATCTTGTTACTTCTTAGTAATGGCAAAGTAAGGCTTGTGAAACAGTGTTCTCTGCAAGAGCGTGTTGCTCACCACAGACATCCACGGGGATGTCTAGACTTCAGTGTGGGCTTAGTGTTTTGCCAGCACTTTTCTGGTGAAGATGAGAATGTCCCTTTTTTACAGGGACAGAAGCAAAAGTTCCCTATTTGGAATGTAGCAAAGAGTGAGTTGTTTCATTCTCCACTTTTCTCTTTTTTGGTGGCACATAAATTGAATGAGTCTTTTGTGTCTTCTCCCTCCCTCTGTCAATGGTAGCGGGTCTAGAAGATCTTTTATGGACCAATATCCTGAAGTCACTGAAAGTGTCAGTTGTATTTATGTCTCTGTCCTTCAGTTGGAGATTGCTGCTGTCACTTGATAGACTGATGGGCTGAGAATGAGAGATAAGGACTCTTGTTTTTCTGTGTTACAGCGTGTCTGTTAATGGAGGGAGGTAAAAGGGTATGCCCCTACGCTCCCCAGGTAACTGACTGTCCCTTCTCTGCTACCGACGGCAGCATCTTGATTTCACAGTCCTACCTTGCTGCACTACCTGGACCCTCTGGCAGCATTAAATATCAAGAATCCAACAGACCTCTGTCTAATTCTGCCACAGTAGAGGCACCAGGGGAATCTGTCTGCAGGCTCAAGACACCAGCTTAGATTCTACACGTCTGGAAAACAGCACCTTTGCAGGGCTGAGAGTTTGTACAGACTTCTGTGAGGTGGAAAAACTGAAATTCTGCAGAAATTAGTAGCTTAGAGGCCCTTTTCTCTTTGGGTGAATGGATTTTTCTGATCTTGGTAGCGGTGGGTTTTTTTTCAATGTAAAGAGGATTTGCATTAGGGAGGCTTGACTGGTTTGCTGAGGGATGGTGGCTAGAGCTGTGTTAGCCTTAAAGCCACCAAATTATATAAAAGAGAGGATAACGCCTTAAAAATGTGGCGTGCTGTTGGAACTGCAGGTCAGAAGAAGGCTCTTGACCACACTGTTTCTCTGCTAGAGGCAGACTGTGCCTAGCCAGGAGTTTGTAATTGCCTGCTAGCTTAATAAGGTTAAGAACTGCCAAGCTTCAAGTCTTGCTTCATGTTTGGGGGAAGATCAGACAGCCTGTCCTCTCCTGGGCCTGAGCTGAATTGGGCAAAAAACTTCTGAATTCTTGTTGTGTTGTTTAAAGATGGTGTTTTAACCATTCCCAAATAGATTTATTTGAATAGGAATTGCAGAAATATTGCAGCGATGGTTTGTTGGAGAGAAGGTTGAGCACAGCTAGGATGCTGGACCTTTAATAGACAGAAAATGGTACAGGATTGAGTACACTGATACACTTCAG